GAGAGATTCCGAATATCACTATTCCGGCAGAGCTACTGACCCGGACAGTTCCAAGGTGGTTGGAGATAAAGGACGCCCCCGTGAATCCGGCCAATACATCCGAGTACTCAGAAGACGTTGCCGGTTACATTTCGGGTCGAGTATCTGAGATTGTGTTATTGAGCATTAGAAATAGTCATTTTCCCTCTTTCTTCCTAATTCAAACACATAAAATGAAGAAATATTCATCAAAATCCTGAATTAAACCGCCGCCCCCCGAATCACGACCCCCGACCCAACACAGAGGACCATCATATGTTGGGGATAGACCAAGGAGGCAAAAATATAACATAACATCTCATTACCTCCTCTACTGCCAGCTCCAGCAATGTCTCCTCTACACTTCCTCCCGACTCACCTCTCACCCGGAACTTCCTATTTATAGGTGACATCACTTCCTGCCATAGAGACTTACTGCCTGGTTAGAGGTCAGATCGCCACCTGGTGGAGCTCAGAGGAACTGCAGCCCCGAGAATCCTCTCGTAGTGTGAACACGGCCTTGTGTTGTATATTCTGATAACAACTTCTATTATTTATTGGGGGAAGATGAGGACACTCAGGGTTGTTCATGATGGAGGCCGGAGAAGAGGACAGATATTTCGGGAGAGCTCCTTACTTTCCAGGAGAGGATGTGTATGTAGAAGAGTCTATCAGTTTGATACCAGACGTGACTAACCCGTAATGTACAGGAGACTCACTGGTCACATTACATGTCCTAAGACATACACTATATTACCAAAAGTATTGGGCCCCGCCCCCTCCAAATCATTGGATTCAGGTGTTCCGTGACATTTCCCGGCTACTAAATATTCCGCCGCGTTCGCCTGTTACCGGGATTATAACAAAGTGGAAGCAACCGGGAACAACAGCAACTCAGCCAGGAAGTGGTCAGCCACGTCACATGACAGAGCGGGGTCAGAGCATGCTGAAGCGCGCAGAAGTCGCCGACTGTCTGCAGAGCCAATAGCTACAGACCTCCAAACTCCATGCGGCCGTCAGATTGGCACAACAACAGCGCGTAGAGAGCTTCATGGAATGGGGGCGGAGCAGCCGCATCCAAGCCGCACATCACCAAGTGCAATGCAAAGCGTGGGCTGCCGCGGTGTAACGCACGCCGCCACTGGACTCTAGAGAAGGGGAGGCGTGTTCTCTGGAGGGACCAATCACGCTTCTCTGTCTGGCGATGGGCGTGTTTGGGTTTGGCGGTTGCCAGGAGAAAGGTACTTGCCTGACTGCATTGTGCCAAGTGTAAAGTTTGGGGGAGGGGGGATTATGGGGGAGGGGTTGTTTTTCAAGGGGTTAGGCTCCGCCCCTTAGTTCCAGTGAAGGGAACTCTTAAGGCATCAGCATACCAAGACATTTTGGACAATTTCATGCTCCCAACTTTGTGGGAGGAGTTTGGGGACGGCCCCTTCCTGTTCCAACATGACTGCGCACCAGTGCACAAAGCAAGCGGGGATCTCCCCTCTCGGAAGGAAACCCTTGAAGGTGTTGGCTGTTGGAGACCAGAGGTCTGGAGGAAACAAGCTGGGACCTTCCCTACACACATGGAGATGATTGATGATTGACTAGGAAGTCATACACAGGAACCTCTCCATGATGTCCGGCCTCAGAAGATAAAGATTGAGATACCACTAGACCATCAATGGCCAAGGAGCCCGGGAAGAGTCCAGCCAGCACAGTCCGTGATTTTGAAGGTAACCATGACTTCAAGTTGAAGAGAAAGATCTAGAAGAGATTAAGGCCTAGCTCGACGTTCAAGGTCCATATCTATATTTTGGGGACATCCTGACCCAGACCTCACCCTCCCAAAGCAACTGGTGCCCATTTCTGTACATCCCGATGGAAGAACCTCACCAGAGATTGAAGGTTTCTGAAACTTTATTACAAGATTGTGGAAACAGAACAATCGTCATGGAGCTATTAATGAGCCGAAGAGTCCCATACCACAAGTTTGAAGACACCATCAAAATTCTGAGCTCCACCAAAGTTCTATCTTCCAAGTTGGTCCAGAAGCTGATAGGACCTTTTAAAAATGTCTTCTTAGATGAATCTGATCACCTTTCACTAAATCTTCATATCTTCGTTCAGTACTGGAACCCTTTCGGAAGTGTGAGATGATGGGAAGGTTGTATCTACTGAGAAGATCTGAAATGTACAGCAAAATATAACCTACATACAAAACATTTCCCACACACAGGACACTACTCCTTGACGGCTGTGTGGGATTTCTGATGTTTGGTAAGACAAGATTTCTGTGAAAAGCACTTCCCACACTCAGGGCAGGAAAATGGCTTCTCCCCGGTGTGAGATCTTAGATGTATAATAAGCTCAGATTTCCATGAATAACGTTTCCCACACACAGAACAGGAATACGGCCTCTCGCCCGTGTGATCTCTCTGATGTATAAAAAGCTTGGACTTCCGGGAAAAACATCTGCCGCACTCAGAGCAGGAAAACGGCTTCTCCCCAGTGTGAGATCTTTGATGTATGACGACTTCGGATTTCCGTGAATAACATTTTCCACACAGGGGACAGGAGAACGGTTTCTCACCTGTGTGATCTCTCTGATGTACAGAAAGATAGGTCTTTCGTGAAAAACATTTCCCACACTGAGGGCACGAATACGGCTTCTCCCCGGTGTGAGATCTTTCATGGACGATAAGGTTCGATTTCTGAGAATAGCCTTTCCCACACCAGGAGCAGGAATATGGCATCTCACCCCTGTGGCATCTCTCGTGTGCATCAAGACTAGACTTATGTGAAAAACTTTTCCCGCACTGAGGACAGGAATACGGCTTCTCCCCGGTGTGGGATCTCTGATGAACGAAAAAATGTGCTTTTTGTGAGTAACATTTCCCGCAATCACTGCAGGAATACGGCTTCTCCCCCGTGTGAGATTTCTGATGTCTAGAGAGATTGGACTTCCGTGAAAAACACGCGCCACACTCAGGGCAGGAGAACGGCTTCTCTCCTGTGTGAGATCTCGTATGCAGGACGAGTTCTGATTTCTGTTTAAAACACATCCAGCACTCCGGGCAGGAAAACGGCTTCTCCCCCGTGTGAGATCTTTGGTGTCTGCCCAAGTTGGATTTTTTCACAAAAGATTTTCCGCACTCAAGGCAGGAATACGGCTTCTCACCTGTGTGAGACCTCCGATGATCAGTGAGAACTGCTTTACGTTTAAAACGTTTCCCGCACTCAGGACAGGAAAGCTTCTTATCTTTTGGGAGGACGGCCCCGCCCCTCCCAGTCTGAGGATCCTCAGGATTGGAGGAATACGATGGTCCATCCACACTGTGGGGCACCTGATGGACATTATGGTCTTCTCCTGGACTACGCTGTGTGATGTCCTCATCTTCTGGAGACAACGCGAGACGTTCCTCTGAGATCTTCCCGACGTCCCGTCCGTGTACTACAAATAGAAATTAAGAGATTATTGGTGGACATGAGCGGGTTGGCTTCTATAAATAAAGATTCAGTCTATATTTAGTTTCGTCTCCATTTGGATTATTAT